AACCGCGGCTCTCTGACTCTGAGGTGTGGTAGCACCACTCATACTCCTAGCCAATCGACCTCTTTCCATAGTCTCCTTTCTCGTCCTCTCCCATTCCGTCCAATCTACACTCGTACCCGTATCATCCGTGGTCACTCGATCCAAGTCGACATCCATCCCAGGTTTCCCATCCGATATGTTCCCACCAGTTGCTTTATTTCCTACGAACGCATACTTTGAAGTGATTCGATGTGGACGATCGGAGTTGTCTGAATCATCTTCAGGTTCAGCTGTCATGAGTCGTTCACCTTCAACACCTCGATGGCTGAGATAACCCCTCGAAGGAGCTAAATTACCTTCTGCCTTCCACGCGAATTTCTCGAACTCGGGATGTAGCGCGGCTTCCGTGGCTTTAGCTTTTTGCTTCAATGAAGTGTAGATAGACGAAGCTACCGAAGCTCCATCTGAAGCAGCTGAAGACAGGGGATGTTCATATTTGTGGCTTGAACCCGAATGAGAATGAGAGTGTCCGTGCCCTGGGCTGTGCATCGACGCGTGCCTGGATAGACTTGGTACACGATTCGGCGAGATTCCCCGACCAAAGTTTTCAGAAGGCGAGGGGAGCACTTGAATACTTTCAGGTCTTCTACGAGCTGGAGGAGGTGGAGGAACTGGTGACCTTGAAGGTGATGATGTATGGAGCGACTTTGATCTTGTTGGTCGTCCGGTAGTTGGGGACGAAGAACTCGACATAGCAGAGCTGTCAGCATAGGGACTTGGCTGAGAGTGAGCGGATTTGGAAGAATGAATGGTAATGATATCATCGATTTCTTCCATTGAGAGCTTTGTAGGAGAATCTTCAGGTCGTGGTTTGGTTGGTGAGGTGGACCGACTATGCGGGCGGCTTTTGGTAGGGAGAGGGGGAGGTTTCCGAGATGAAGAAATGCTGTGTTCCAAAGATGAAGCTGATGATGGAGGACTTGGATTTACGCGAGAATGAACTGCGGTAGACATGGAAGAATCTGTTGCAGTTTCCGTAGACTTGCGCGTTGCTGCTCCCCTATCTTTAGCGCGTTCCTTCAGGGTACCAGAGTTTACACTGCTTTTGATCACTTCCCATGTCTTGGGAAGGTGAAGAGCACTTTCTGAAGCCTTTTGTGCAGTTCGAGCAGCGATGAGAGACTGTTTGATGAGATTGGAAGTTTGGTGTGGAGTAGTCAAGGACGGAGATGGTTTCGAGGAGCTGGAAGGTTTCGGAGGTGGTGGAGGAGCAGGGTGTCGAGGTGGAGGAAGCATTGTTGCAGGTTTTCGAGGTGGGAGAGGAGGTTGTGAGGGACCCGAATTAGAATTGGAATTTGACCGCGCCAAAAACGGATTACGAGAGACACCTCCACCTTCAGATATAGAATCTGAAATCCCAGTCTTTTTGTTTTTCTGAAAGAGGGATTCACCTCCTGCTTTGATAGAACCCGAACTTGGAGCGCGAGAGATTCGTGGAGTAGGAGAATAAGCGTTATCGCGTATTGGAGAGGAACGACCGTCGTCATCATCGGCTATAGCCGAACCTTGTAAAAATGGCTGAGGTGTATGAGAAACTGATCGACGGAATGGATTTGATCCTAGGGAAGAATTTTGCTTTGAGTCATTCTTTGTAGGGGTAGGGGTTGAGTTGAGTGAAGGTTGATCGGGTGTCAGCTCCACGATTGTTGATGATGAAAGAGTTTGAACCATAGGGGCAGTAAATCGTTTGACCATTGGAGGTACCGGGGATGTTGACCGACTAGCCTGTGGTGAGAGATAGCCAAGCGGTTTGCTCGCTGCGGAAGGTGGGAGTGAGACGGGATACCGTTGGGGGGAGATGGATACTTACCTTGAGTAAAGACAAGAGAACGATCCACTGCTTTTCCCGATTGAACGTGTGATACCAGACGAAGTATTGAAAACATTTGAGGTGCAGGAATAAGATCTCCCTGAGAATAAGCAGGAAATAACCGTAATATCTTGAAAAGTAATGTTAAGAATCCCCACCCTTTGCAGTCCGAATTGCAAGAATTAGACTCACCTGCTCAAGTACTACAGCATCAACACCATATTTCCCTCTAATCCATCCTTTTGCCTCTCCAAATGGAAAATGTTGAGAATCCCAATCAACTTGGCCAAGACCACCCTGAGACTGCGGTACCCCCACTGAAGGCAAGAGTTCTGCAAGAATAGCAGCGTAACAAGTGTATTCGCGTTCTGAAAGAGCGCTGCTATGCAACGCCAACGGTCTGCTCATTTGCTGTGTGGAAAGGGGTGGATTACGATTTCGTTGCTCGTCGGCAGTCCAAGAACGGCAAAAGCACCTTGGGTTCGGGGTTTACATTGTTTATATCCGTTCACAGTCATTCCATTCATGTCAACGCGGCACCGCTTTCCGTCTTCTGAGACTGAGCATTGCAATCTTCTCACCAAAGCGTCATATTACGTCTGGTTCTCCAAATAGCACGGACATCCTATTGGTATTGATTGTCTCTTTACTCACGCAGGGTGCATGCGTTGACATGCCACACGGCGTAATTTTCTATCTCCAATTCACGTTATTTCCAATTGGCTGTCATGATTTGCATGCTCTTGGTTGAGAGCACGGAGAACAGGCGCATCAAGGATCTCAGGGTGAAGAACTCTTCAA